TTCTACCACTCCTACATCATCCTTATTGACAAGGAAAAGTCCAACTATGGATCAAGGTATTCAGGTAGGACATGAACAACAGCAGCAGGGCAATAACATTGGCAAATTGAATGACAAGACAAATATTAGGACCGTCCAACCGCCTCGTCGAGATCATGATAGGTATTTCATTTAGGAAATTAATTTTCTTTTTATAAATGAAACGATCATAATTTTATGCGTATAATAGTTTTATCTTCTAGTATCCTGATATTAAAAATACAATCGTACTTCACAATTTTTTATTTGCTTGATTTGTTAAATTTTTTATTTATACAAATATAAAACAATTTTACATAGGTTTATATTATAGTTAGTTGTTGAACTGATGATATAGCTTCATAAAATTTTGATAAATAGTTTCTTTATTATGTTTAGCCACGGAGGTACCAAAAACAACGCGGGTATGTCTCATCAATATAATGATACGAAGAGGGACATGAAACAAGATGGCCAAAATCAAGGTCATATGCAGGGTGGTCGAGGCAACCGTGGTGGTTGGGTAAACCGCGGCAACATGAGAGGTCGAGGAGGCCGAGGAGGTCGAGGACGTGGTGGTTTCCGTACGAATCAAGCGAACAACTTGGATGGTATCAAGCCTAAGATGAAGTTTGATAACGACTACGATTTTGAACAAGCTAATACTCAGTTCGAAGAATTGAGGTGAGCATAAACGTTCGCTATGAACACTGATGATTGATTCTGCATGGTTACGTGCCGGATTCATTTCAAGTAACTGTTGAAATGACCAATGTGGAGACCATGCAAAAGTAAAGTTTAGTGCGAATTTAAAGCAATCGTAATTTTAATAAATACGAATCGCTTACGCATCGCATTAACATTATTTTATAAAATTATGTTTCAATGATTTAATTTATATAATTTATATGTTAATGTAATACATTTATGTAATATCATAGGTCGCAATTGGCGAAAACGAAAATCGATGGTACTGACAATGAGAAAAAAGACGACAGTGGAAACGAGACAGGTGCTGGTGAAGGTGAACCCGAGGAGGAACCGGAAATTGTTCACTACGATAAGTCGAAATCATTCTTTGATAATATTAGCTGTGAAGCTGTTGAAAGGAGTAAAGGGTAAGCTTTATTGAGAGAATATTTAATAAATATAATCACCGTGTGATTATAATAAATGATTATATAAATTCACAGTACAGCTATGATTTTTAATTTTTTTTTTAATGAAAGAAAATTATTGAATTCTGTGAAATGTTTTGTATACGGTATAAATTTTTTCCAGGCGATTCCAACGTACGGATTGGAGAACAGAACGAAAACTGAATTCAGAAACATTCGGTGTAGCTTCTACAAGACGCGGTACATTCCGCGGCCGTGGTTACTACGGTCGCGGAATGGGAGGCATGTTCAGAGGTAGTGGTGGCGGCAATAATGCTGGATTCCGCGGTGGCTATCGAGGTAGCAGGGGCGGTAATCGCAAACCCCCTAACCAACTACAGAATAATACGGGGAGTCAAAATCGCGCGACCAACGAACAGTCTGCCTCTCAATCGCAGGCAAAAGTTATCTAAATAAAAAAAAGGATCTAATTTGTCATCGGTATGGCATGAAAGAGTAAAATATGCTGGGGAGAGAATAAAGCGATGTGCTGCTATGTATAAGTATACACAACTATAGATTAAGATTTTTACGATATGTGCTCTACGTTATGGACTGATTTGGGTTAGAATTTGGCAGTCGAATAACAGAAGATACATACGGCCGGATTAAATGTAGATTATATTATATAACGGAACGCGTTTGCAATCGCCAAACCGGTGGTTACGTGTTAGGTGACAAGAATCGCACATATGGACGTTGCTGGCGCATATGACTCTTTGCATCGATATTTTGCGACTAGATGATCGGAGAAGGTACTTTTAGAGACAAATTTTCTTACCGCTTAATCGACAATGATCACGATTGGTGTTAAAAGAATAGAATGTTTTTGTTAAGGAAGTGAAGTCAATATGATTAGATCGTTCCTTGGTCTTTTTTACATTGATACTTATTTGTGTGAATTCAGATGTCTAAATAATTAAGGAAGGAAGTTACTCGTAAGAAGGCTAGTCATAAGTTTTACTTGAAATATATCTGTTAACAAAATTCTTAATAAAGTAATCTGAAACCGCTTTATAAACAATAATATATTTGTTTATAGTTAGGGAAAAAATTGTACAATTCAATCGTGATCATTCTTCAGTCGGTTTTCTCAAGATTTGACTATATATGATTATGGAATGGCTTTATGATGATGGTGACTTGATAATACTGGTCGTTATGGAATAGCTGGTTTGTATCCGTATATCGGAAGTGAATGGCAATAGACGTGCATAAAAGTACTTTCTCGTCAAAGTATGTAAAAATCGATTGTATCTAATTGCATTTGTCGAGAATAGAAATATCGTGAGCTATATAGTACAAGATAAATCTGATAAAAATTATATTTTTTTCTTTTGTTTTGGTTTTTTTGAGTGTACGCAGACAAAGTTTTTCGAGTCCTCGGCACGAAGTTATATAAACGTATAATTTTAGGATGGAACATAAGTGGATGAACATAAGTGGGAAATAAGTGAAAGCCAGTTTATATGAAAATTTTTGTATTATTAAATTGTAATCTTATTGTCCGCCTACTCTTTCTTTGCAAGATCTGCATCTAGAATTAGAAAGATGTAAGTGTCAATCTTATTGTAAGTAACTAAGTTCTAAATCATGTTACATAATTGTCGTCGTGTTTTGCAAATAAGGATTCTTCGATTGCTCTCATATGTATAAGAGTAGCTTAATTAGTAAAACTAAAATAGATATCTGCATTATAATCAGTAATTAATTATATCAGATATGAAGTTTGTATGATGCTTATTAAAAGTAATTTTTTTCAAAAACATTGTAATCTTAAATCAGTATTTTATCAATTTGTTTTTTTTTTTTTTTTTTTTTTGTTAATTTTGAAAGTATAATAACGCTTATTCCAAGAAAAATTTGTATTCAATATACATGTATACAAGCAGAAAATATTTAAAATAATTTATTATTAAATGACATAATATTCTATCAATATTATGTACAATAATGACTATATATGTATATTTAAATGAAAGTAATTAATTTATTTTTTTCATAAATTTACCTAATCATTCCAATCTTGGAATAACGCTTTATTAATATATAAATATAAATGGGATCCAAGTATGCACAGGTGCAAATTCGGAAACCTAATAAAGATTTTTAAAGCGTCAAACGCATAAAAATAATTTATTCGTAATTTGATTAATTAATTATTCACGCTCTCGAAGAATCCTTTTGAATGCACGAAGACGCTGTGGGTAGAATTGTGTTAAATGGCGATGCAAATAAGAATAAAAGCATGATAATATCCTTAAAAATATAAGACGTGGAAGAAACAGAATAAGAACATTATTTGCGACTATTATTTTTCTATGGCTCGTACAGAGTCCCCAAACTCATACAAATATTATATATATGTATACACACACACACACACACACACGCACATACACACATGTACGCAACTTGAGATTTACATAACTGATAAGCAAACCTCCAATAGGTTATCAGAGAAAATGCAGAGTGAAGTAAAAGGAAGGACTATAAAATGAAATAAATGAATAGAAAAAAAAGATATGGTAAATTTAACTTTTAAGTTTCATGCTTTGAGCATGTGAAAAATTTATAATGTACGCGAGAATGAATTTTTGTTTTGTACAGCGGATATATTGTGATTTCCGATGGTGAATAATATTGAAATGATGAAATAACACGTCGTCGTGTCATTTCCGATCTCCTACACACTACTTTTCCAACAATCGAATGAAAAGTTTTCTTATTTCTTCACAAAGTTGTAAGTCGAGAACTGTAAGGCGCGGGTCGTCCTTCCCCGCCCTTCGACGAAATGCGCAAAATGTGAAAGATGACGATTTACAAATTTAAATGCTAGATTACGCGAATTTTAAAGAGCGACTCGAGATATAAGAGATGCGTGTTGTGCAGTTTTTCAAAAAAGGAGATGTACTCAGATGTAAATAAAATTATATAACGTCTTTAATAGGACTCGAACATATGTTGTTGGTAAAACTATCGTGCGTATGGCGATACTAAAGTGTGCTGCGTATTACATGCGATGTGATTAGAATGTATGTAAAAAGAAAAAAAAACGGCGTCTTCCATGCGCTACATCTAGTGTTTTAAATGCTTGATAAGCGACACAGTAAACTAGAATGATTTATTACACACGATATCGCAAACATAGATTAACAGGTTCCATTTGTTCATAACTTGAATCTATTTTTTCTTTTTTTTTTTTTTGCACATGAACTTCTTACGTCCGATATCTTTAAATAGCTCGAAGGTAATCGTCAACGCATCACTAATACATTATAAATTCCCAGCATCAATATAATCGAAAGTCGCCATTTATAACGAATACAATTGTAGTTTGCAGCATATAATGAGTTATAATCTTACAAGTTCAGTACGAAACTTGCATGAAAAATTTGAAGGTCTTATTTTCAGATTATAATAGTTTATTTTTAAAAAATATTTATTATAAAATTTTTTTATCACAGGCACCTTCATACAATCTGGCATTATTAATAAGAAATAAAAAAAAAAGATTGAACATGTATGCGTGTATTTAAGGAAATTATGATAGAAACGTGAACCAGCGAATACAATTGGATGACTGAGGAAAAAGGAAATATGCATGAAACTTTGTAATAGAAAATTATCTACGAAGAATCTCGGGAATACTATTTCCCGCGAAGTATCGCTTCAATTGCATCTCGTCTGTTCTACACTTCCGGTTACACTGATCTACATGTGAAATATCTTCTAATACAAAGTCTCCAGATAACGTTCGCCACGTGGATCGAAGATTTCTGCCCTAAACAGAGTGAGAGATCACGGTCGTGCGCTCGTCGATTATCAGGCGCAGCTCATCAAACCTGTCCTCGTACTGTCGCAGACTTCTCTTATCGCGCGACCTTCCGCGACCTTAGTATCAACAACGTGTGGGAAGTTGTTCTTATAATGACGACGCAGAGTACGCGGATTCGGTACATAAACCTCGTAAGGCGCTTTGCCGCTCTCGATAACCCAAATACTGCCAGACTCACCGATCCTTAATATCGTCATCAGACCCTGCGCGACTATGTAAGGCCTGCAAAAACAAGATTAAATAGCAATGAGCCGTTGAGAAATTTATCTCTGCTGAATTGGCAGTCATATGTAAGCACGGAAAAGATGTAATGTTCATGTCAGGATCTACGAACTAAATTTTATGGAACTGATATTTTAACTCTTATGATCACGAGAGTCAAAATGATCTCAGAACTTAATTAATAATTTTTTTTGAACGAAAACTGTGAATAACAGGAATTGATTAAATGCACTCTGGAATCATTTTGACCCAGTTCATTATGGAACTTTTAAGATGTGTGTGATCACGAAGACCTAAATCTTCGCTAGTTGTCTCGTTAAAAAAAAAATGATAAGTAATTTATTTGTAATTACAAGAGGTGTTCAGAAAGTAATACCCTAAATTTTTCAAACTTCAAATTTGCAACATGTAAAATTTCACTTTTCTACTTTTATTATCGGATGAGGAAAAAATGTGGGACATTACTTTCTGAACAACCATCATATTATGAAATTTATTGAAGGAACAAAAGACATTCGTATTTATATTATAATTTAATTCTACAGCAGGAACGCTATTATGTTTTATTATTATCCAGCATGCACTGGTTAATTTATCTGACTGTTTTATGTCAAACGTTTGGTATACTCAGTCAAAAATGATAATGGAATCGACATTGAATCGATGTCGATTCGATGTCAATTTCATTATCATTTCTGACTGGGATAAGAGACAATTTTAATAATGACTCACGTTTGTATCGGGAACTGTTCAAGATTCTTAACGAAATCTGCTTTCATGACTCTGGAAAGAAGTTTATTAGGGCTATCTACTGTTAAGGCGGTCTCCGTTAGTCCTGGACACAAAGTTATCACGGTAACACCGGTCTTCTCGTAGTGATAAGGATCCTGTTGCAGAGTAAATGTAATTATGAAAACTTCGTATAATAATATATACATATATGTAATAAGTAATAATAAAAATTAAATACTTCATTATTTTACAATCTATAAGATAACAATCTTGTAGAATATTGGAAGTTTATAAGTAACTATACTTTTTGTTTGTAAGTAACTATTTTAGGATGATTGCTTGAATAATAGATGGACTTAACTGCGTTCAATTCTGTATAATTACCGATAGAGACTGCGATAGACCGATGACGGCGTGCTTCGTGGCAGTGTAAACCGGAAGTTGAGCTGTGTTTCGAATATCCACATGCTGGCTCACGTTTACTAAGATACCACCGTGACCGCCCGTATCTCTGCTCATATATTGTACAGCTAGCATTGCGGTGCTGACCATGCCTCCCTAACATTGATATACCACATTAGAATCTACTCTTTATTTTTATTATTACAGGTATTACACCTTATAGAAATCTAAGAGAGCATTTTATATTATACTGGCCCTAATCGTATGCCATAATCTGTAAAAATTAACTAATCACAGTTGAAGTAGTCAATCCCTGACATTCAACTGTAACAGAAGAATACTAGACTGTGATTAGTCAATTCTTATATAGATTATGGCTACAGCCATTATAAGTGCTCCCTAATTACTTACTGGTCAACTTAATACTGAAAGATAGCAATTATTTATTTTAAGAATTAAAAGTACTGTTGTTCAGTACTTTCAGTACTCCAAATAAGTGATTTATTACTGTATTTCAATAATAAATTGATCAGTATTAAATTTCTATAAGAGTACTTATTAATGATATTTATTTTCCAATCTTTTTATATATTCTTATATGCAATCTGGTAAAATCATCTTATGACACAAAAATCACGAAATTATTTGAAATATATTCGAGGTAAGAAAAACATTGTAAAAGTTTTGAGAGAGAAAACATCGCAGAATAAAGAAATGATAAAATTAGGAAATCATTGGTAAAGTTATTAATAAATCAATAAATTATTATCAACGATACTCACAATGTTGACCGAGATTTCCTTCTCCCATCTTCGTTCATCTAAAACGCCAGCGTTATTTATCACGATGTCAATGTTTCCTAATAGCGTTGATGCTTCTTCAAAAGCTTCTATAAATTGATATAGACAAAAATAAGATATTCTAAAAAGTTCAATGATAGTAACATATATTTACACAATTTGAAAATCTTGCTCCATATTTACCAGTCATATGTTTATGATTAGATACGTCAGTATGTATGAAGTGTACTTTCTTCTCGCCGCAAGATTTTTCAACACCGAGCTCAATTCGTTTGCCAGTTTCAGCATCGATATCCAATATAATTATTTTCTGTAACAAATATGAAATAAATTTAAATATAATAGTGCCGAGATGATATTGATACTTTATAAATATTGTAAAACAAATTTAAATATTTTAGTATTGTAGACAGCTAATGCTATTCTATGAATTTAGTAGAATTAGGGACAGCAATATATTTTATATCTAACAGGAGAGAGATAAATAATTTAATCTACAGAATAATATTAATTCAATTAAAAGATAATGTTAGAAAAGAGTGTGTTTTCTTAATTATTAGAAATATTATATAAATTTTAATAAAAGATTTTTTTATATAATTATACTTTTTTTATATAATTATATTTATATTATAAAATTTGAGCCTTATTTAAATAATAGACTTTTTCTAAATATAGTTTATAGATTTATAGAGAAAATTATAAATTATTTATGTAATGCTGTTTTATGTAGATTTCCTGCAAATTTTTTGAATTTTTAAACTGCAAATTATTATCTTAATTATTAAACATACCTTTGCTCCGTGCTTCAAGAAATGATTAAGAAAGGCGTAGCCCAATCCTGCTGCACCGCCAGTTATTAGAACATTTTTTCCAGAAACAATGCAATTGATCGCTTCTATCTCTTTCGCCCTTTCGGATGCTGAAGAACGACGACGAACGATTCTCAAACTTGGCTCTATAACATAAAACTTGTTTCATAAAAGAAGGAAAGTTCTTTATCAGAAAAACTTGTAACATTAAAATATATGTTATTAATATTACAATTTTTTTGATCAAATAAATTCTTATTATTTAAATAATGAGAATTATTTCGCTCCACGCTTTATAAAAAAGAGCCTTACATAATAATTTATCTTAGGAAATAAAATTAAAAAAATTATATAAAAACATTATTTACACAATTATTAATATAATTATTAAAATTATAATTTATAAAAATGAAATAATCGAAAACTTATTTTTTATATTATACATTTTTTATGACAAAACATATTGATAGACACATATTTTTCTCGATGAAAGAAGCAGACTTACCTACTGTATTCTCCATGAATGAAACTGCTTTGGATATTTGGATATGTAAAGAAATGAACTAATTTCCGGTTTAAGTTCTTAGCCGTAAAGCTGAAGAATCGGGAACTTGTGCTGGTAATACGTATGTTTCGACTGAACTTCGAGACCATTCGAATGGTATTTATATACGATAAGCAGCGATGTGGGATTTCGTGATATTGCGACTTAAGTTTCCATCATGGCGGGGATGTCCCAGAGGGTGGACTTCGGGCTGTAGATTACATAGACAGCAAATATATAGATCGGGCAATCATGATAAAAAAAAAATTTTTGAATTTTCTCATTAAAATTCAACATTGTCGAAGGTGTTTGATATCTAAAGATGTCGCATTTTATTGAGCATATATTTATACTAGACTCGATGGATTAAAATATCATTAAATTTGTTAGACTAATATAATTCAGCTTTTTTACCAAGTTTTTTTTTTTAGTTTGTAAAATACGTTAAATATATAATTATAATAATATGAGTATAATATTGCTGATACAAGCAAAATTATAATGATTATTTATTGATGAATAATTACTGGGCTTGATCATTATTATTGTGGAACTTCAAGTTTTCAATTTAAAGAAAACAGATGTCAAAACTAAATTATGATATAAAAAGTAATATAAAAAGCAGCAACACTGCAGAAGAATATCATTAAATAAATGATTTATTTAACAAAGATTGTTACTTTCGATAATAATAATTTTTAAGATTTTTTAAGATCTATTGCGGTCTTCTTATTTTTTCATTGTCTTTTCTTATCTTCCCTTTCACTGATCAGTCGCGTCTTGTCGTTCTCTTTTCTCAGTGTTCCTTATTCTAATTAACCCCTTTTGCAGAGGCTAATTAATCGCATCGTGGCAATGTGTTTTCTAGATACTGGATATACAGGACACACAGATCGAGAGGCATTGAAGCGCGTTTTCTCTTTTACTTAAAAATAATAATAGTGTATTGTTTCGCGACGAATGCTAGACTAAGCAAGTAGACTGTCAGTACATCATTAATTAAGTAATTGCATCTTTAACAATGTTATTGCTTTTTACGTAATATTTACTATAGGACAATTTATTTTGTTAATATAATACACAGTAAAAATCATTTTATATTTGCGTGAAAAAATCAGTTTTAACACAAATACAAGATATTAAAACTTTTATATTAAATTTTTAATATAATAATATATCCGAGTGTTCATTTAATACAATGTGTGCATATTGTTGTATTATTTAAATATTTTGTATTAAATTGACATTTAACACAAATTTTTAGTGCTAAAATATTAAATAATTCATTTTATGAGTATTGAACACGAAATAATGTAGTTTAAAAGTTTAAAATTTAAGATAAATAAATGAAATGTAAATTTAACATATTATAAATGTTAATTTTATTGAAAAATAATTTTACAATTTGTTTAAAAATTGTTTCAAAATATATATTTAAATTATATTTTTGTATTAATTTTTTACATAGATAATATCTGTATCACTTTTTAACATATTTATCTTGTGTTAAATTATATAAACATTTGAGTAGATTTTGAATATAAATTAAAATTTTAACAAGTTTTTCAATTGTGTATATAAATACGCATATCATAGAATATATAAGAAATGTTAAATGCTTTTTATATATTTTACATAATATGTACTTATTTTTTGGAAAGTAAATATATTATATTGCTTATTTATAAAGACGTCTTTATAAAATCATGTTTAAAATGAAGCTACGCAAGATATATTGGAAGTGATCAAAGTGCGTTTGACAAGCGAATGCGCGTGCGAGCGAAATAAAAAGTTATTAAAACACATAATTCTATGTATCTTTTTAAAGTTTCCTGCGAAAATATTTGTTTTGCATATTTGATTTTACCTCACCGGGCCATTTCGATTAATAGAAATTTATGATAGTCGCGGGGGACGGAACTGCGGCTGGTGGCTCGTATTATTTGTAATATCGTACAAAGGAAAGAAATATTTTTGCCCTTTTATGTTCCCGATGTATTTATGTGTTGCAGTTTCCAGACGATGTATTTATGTATTTACATTACTCTCAAATTAATTTTTAATGAATTTTTGTTTTTATTCTCTTACAGAAATTCAATTTATACTAATTAATTTAATACTGCAAATTTATTTTGAATATTAAAAGCACTAAACAAAAATGTTTTTATTATTTAAAATAAGTAATTAATTATTAATTAATTATTAATTTAATTAATTAGTAATTAATTATTAATTTAATTAAGTATTAAATTTCTATAAGAATTGCGCTTCCGTTCGTTTTAGTTGAATTCTTTTGTATTATAATTTTTTTTTTCTTCGAGGTCTAAGTATACACGTGTTGCAGTCAGTTTAAATACAGAAAACGCAATAAAACGCAATAAAAAAGAAATGACTTAAAACATGAACGATTGCACTTAATGTGTTTGTATACCTTTGCAAATTATACGAGCGGAAATGCATACTTGGCTAGAAATTTACAGAATACTAGCATACGGCATTTAACGTAAGTGATATTTTGTGTACGTGTATATATAATATTTACAAAATAAAATAATGTTTGACAGCAGATTAAACTTAAAAGCGTGGAACTATCATTCCGGGTACGCGACGATCATTGGATGATATAACTTTTGTTAAAAGTCTGGCCGTTCGCGTAATTGTAGTTGTAACGAGCAATATGATAAATTGTTATCGAGTCATTATCATTGGCAGGCCTATCATAAGTCAACCCTAATCAAATGACCTTATATCGTAGCTTCAGCATTATCTAGGAAATTTATATTTTTCCTTTTGAGAATTTACGATTAAAATTTACAAAAATCACTGAAGTCATTTACGACGAATTATTGTATTAATCGTTATCTAATCTTTATATTATTATAAATTTTTATATTTCTATTAATTTTATATTTTATGAATAATATAGTAGAATGTAATTGTAAATGAAAAAGAACATCTGACATAATTATATATATTATAAAATATTATATATATAAATACAAGATTATTATAAATTTATCGTGAATTCCTTGATAAATCTATTAAATATCAATAAACTATCAACCTCAAAATGACAAAAGCAGACAACGCGAGAGAAGAAGAGACCGAAAACTTCACTTTTTATTTTTTCTTTATTTTTTGCGGTTATTTGCAAATTATGCGGGCGCTTATCAATCGCTCGTGGCGTCGGCGAACTTTAAAAAATAACGTAGTTGGTACAGTCGTGTGGCACAAAACGGTGATAAGAGCCTGACGTGCGCACAGCTCGTGCTCACTGCACTTATCAATAGAAAAAGCGCATTTAACGTCTGATCGGCGTCGCGCCGACGATAAATTAGCCGAGAGACAGCGCATGTCCGCTTCGAGTCGATACCATAACCGATACGAACTGGTTCCGATCGAACTTTACTCGGAATCGAGAAGGAAAGTAATTTCTTTTGTGGTTTTTATTTAGTTATCGTACTACGCTGCACGCCGCGAAAACGCGAGATTCACGCCTGTGTGAGTATTTTGCATCCGTTGCGGCGATTCAGAGCGATTCATAAATACGCATGTCTGTAAAAGATTACAGTCTCCGCGTACCAAACAGTTAATAATTGGTTCAAATGATCACTGATTTGTGGGATATTTTTTACTATAACTAACGTCGTTGTTGAAATGTGATTTCCTGTATTCTTTATATGCCGCAGTGCAGCTTTAATTTGCGTGATCTAAAGAAATATAATATGTATTAATTATTTTTTAAATATTATTTGATCGATATATAATGTTAATAAAATATATAATTAATAGAAATTGTTTTCGACTTTTTAGAATTTATAATTTGTTGAAATAGTGCGATATTGTCTTATTAGTAAAAATACGATTAAACTCTGAGATTAGTTTATTAGCTTTTATTATTATTTTTAAATGTTTTTGTCAAACTGTCTACATGTAAATTATCGCTTTGTAACGATAGCGATTATTGCTTGCTTCTTCCATAAACGAATTTAAACGATTAAGGCAATTTAAGAGAGGAATAGAGCATTATTTAGATAAGAATATATATTTCGGTAATACAAGCCACGAAAGAGATTTCCATATTCGTCAAGATTTTATATGTATGTTCAAGAAAGAAGAAAGTTTTTAATCGCAAAATCCGTATATACTTTTGTAGATAATTTAGTATAAAAGGTACTGTCAAAATTTCAAGTGAATTGAATAAAAATTGTTAAAGTTATGCTGCTAATCAATTTGAAACAAGTGATTTCGAGTAAAAGGCATTTAAAGTTTTGTTTTACGACATTTTATATATAAGTACTGCCGAGAGTGCCGATCGAATATACTAAGTGTCAAGTATACTGAAATTTATACTTCGTCGATAAATGATCTCTTTAGGTACTTCATGAATTCAAACGCTTCGTGTCGCTACGAATCATTCTGAAACGCTCGATGATGCTGTGACATGCTTTACCAAAGGTTTCATTTTAAAAGTTGTATTTTGTATTATTGAAACTAATTGTATCTTTTAGGATTATAAAGTTAAGACAAAAATATAATATTTTTGATTTTTTTAATCCTTCTCAAGATGGCTTAACTCTCTAAAACATTTTGTTTAGCTTATTTATATATTTGATAAAATAATTATAAAAAAAAATTTTAATTGACGAATTTTTTCACATTTTATTGAGATGTTAAAAAATTTTTAAATCTCTAATTATCCAATAAAGTTTTTAAATCTCTAATTATCCAATAATTATAACAATATTTAATCTGCAATCAATTTCACATTAGCGGCTAGTTCTGTGCATCGACTTCAGTTTTTTGCGGCAAAGTATCGGGAAGCTGCACTTCAAAAACCGGTTTTCCATCCTCGCTAATCCATACACTGCCGTTCTGTGCGCATCGAATTACGTATATCAATCCATGAGCAACGCTCTCCACCCTGGCAACATATTTATCTTTTGTATTTTATGTACATACAATTTTTATTAGAGTGCGTCAATTATAAATTATCGTCAATTATAAATTATCGTCAATTATAAATTAGCGTTAATCTTACCTCTGATGTCGATCATTCTGTAAACTAACATTTGAAATATTCTGCGATACATCTTGTGGAATGTCGGTCAAACCGGGACACAGAACAATTACTTTTACATTAGTCCTTTCGTAATGATAAGGTTGCTGTAAAGAAAAAATATCTGATTAAATTTTATAGACTTTTATGTTTTATATAAAATGATTTTTAAGATATGTATGAAATATACTTTTTATATGCATTATTCATTATTGCAGTCTAATTTTAATTTTATTGCTACAACATGATTTAAAATTTAATGTTTTTCTTTCTCATATTCCTTTCAAGTTATCATTATGAGAATTACAAAAATTCAGGTATATCAGAAACAGCACCCATATACACATTTTATCATCTAATAAGATAAAATTATCATCAAATTTCAAAATTTGAAAAACAAGTTTAAAATACAAATTTGTTGCCAAGAAAGAAAAAAAAGGAAATTTTTAATTCCTAAAATTAATCATCCAATTAATCTTCAAAAAAAGATTTCGCAGATTTCTTATAAAAATAGAAATAAACCTTGCTCGGTTTCGAGATATTTGTAGTTTTTATGATTTTAAACAAATGTCTCCATTACCGCAAACATAAAAAAAATCAAACGATAAAAAAACGTGAAATTCTAAACTTTGTGTTATTTATTATAATTGTCATAAATTTTATTATACATTATATTTTTAAATGTAAATTGCTTACCGCAAAGGAACGGCTGAAACTAACCACGGCATGTTTTGTAGCAGAATATACTGGAAGCTGAGATACAGCTCGTAATCCGGCAATGGACGAAATATTTACGATAATACCACCCTTGCCACCAGAATCCTTTCGCATTTGTTGAATCCCCAGAAGAGTCCCACGAATCACAGCTGTCTGTAAAAGCGAAATTAATATTTTGGAACTTTATTCAATCTAAAATTCCCTTATCATACAATTTTATTTTCAATTGAGACACAGTTAGCTAAATTCACGCCCGCGCTTATATGTAATATTTTTTAATAAAATTTTGTATAATTACATGTAAAATGACTTGTTACCAGAAAACATTTAAAAGCTTTCGGTGATATTTGTGATCAATATATTTCCTTACAAGATGTAATTACACAAAGTTGAAACAAGAAGGAAATAAACTTACAACATTAACATCGATAGTTTTGGAAAAATCAGTTTCATTTATTATGCCTGCATTGTTTATTAAAATGTCCAGTCCACCGAGAATGCTAATTGCCTCTTTCAACTTGGCTGCAACAATTAATAGTTTCAGTTTTGAACAAATTTAACAAATATTCCCTAAATGCAAAAGTTATAAATTAAATTAACTTTTGCAGTTTATATAAACAATGTTTGAGTTTTTGTTTATGTAGTGTGTGCATTAATAAAATACAAATTAATAACATGAAATAGACTTATGTTTACTGTCAAATTCGAAATTATTTGTTACATCGCAGCAAAGAAATACAGTTCGTTTGCGGCCAAACTCATTGTTTAAACTCTCTACAGCTTGTTCTCCAATCCATTGCTTTATATCGATCATAACTATCATCTGAAATATTAATAACTATTCTATTAATTTTTACAATAAAACATTGATGAGTTTAACAAATATTTTTGAAAGAAGACTGTATAATATTTTATTACATAATGATTACAACTAATATATTTATACATACATGAATATTATACAATATTATTATATTAAATTACATACCAAAGCGCCATTTCGCAGCAGCTCCTTACTAAATGCTAGACCCACATCACTTGCTGCTCCAGTTACTATAACTCGTTTATCTTTGATCTGCATTACTCCACTAATTTTCCAGTAAACAATCTCTTTCGTGTATATTTCTTTGCTTATGAAAGTTCTAAAACATGTCAATATATGAATTTCCGTTTGCGAATTTTATATTTTTACAATAAAACAGTTAACTACACGAAATCAAGATGTTTCTTTATCGATGAGACCACCAACTGCAATGCGAGTCTTTAACCAGTCCGAGAACCTCCTTGAACCGATATGGAAGAAGTCACTGTTTTCGTTCGGTGATCTTTGACCTCGTGATCTGCATGACGTTCAATTCGTCAGAGTCTCTTCTCTTCATATGAGATTCGTTATCCATGAGACGGCGCAGTGAACATCTTCATCTCCTCATTGTGTAGTAAGTGTAGTTTTAAGTTCAGTGGCATTCGAGAAAATTCGAAACATTCATTAGTGAAGTGAAACCACAAGTTGAACTTTGTATAAATTTTTATAAAAATTAAGAAATGCACATTTAAAAGTCAAAACTTTAGCGATCAAAACTTTTAAACTAGATGCTTCTGTATTAATTTTTTTAATATATATATATATATACTCGTAAAAATAAGTAGATGTTCATATAATAATTAAATTAAATATTCATAATAATGAAATAAATAAAATGGCATATATATCGCTTTCCAGAAAACGATTGCACATAAAGACAAAGTTCACATTAAAATTACAGTGAAATTTTTAATCAACGACTGTAATCTAGAAAGGCCATCTAGCGCAACGCAAGAGTTTATATTACAACAAGAGAACCTTGCCAACTCGGAAATTCTGATTTTAATGTGACTTTGCATTCATAGTAAATAAATGAATCTGAAAATTTATATCAGTTGAGTTTTAAAAATGTTTTGGATGTACAATAAAAATATCAGCCAGAAATCAATTGAAAAGGCTAATATAAACTAATTAGCATAAAAGTTTTTATCATAAATACTCTTTGAAACCAAATGCAAACAACAAAATAACAAATAAACTTAGCTTATAAATTATAATAGCTTTATAAAGTAAAATGATCTATTTTATTGCAGTTTTAGGTAAATATCTTTTAAATAAGTAGATTCAAATAAACTTTTGTGCACAAATATTTATTAGTATATATAAAAAATAAATAATTTTATTAGTATATATAAAAAAAATGAAATGATTTTTAAACCAATAAGAAAATTATACTTAAATTTTACACAAATAGCAGATGTAATAATAAAGCATGTAAGAGAGGGACATTTTTATATTTTGATAATACTTTTTAAAATGTGATATATATACCTACATACTTGAAAACAAACAACTATCTCCTATATGTAGAGTAGATTTCTTTTGATTCATTCAAACTGCTTTTAAATAGATAAAAAAAACAGTTTAAAATAGCATCAACCAAATTTATTTATTATTTTATTTACTTTTTCTACATACATGCAAAATTATATTAAAATGAGAATTTTGGACGCTATTGTTTTATCGGACTTTTACTGAAATATTGCTTTAACAAACTTTAATTTTTTAATTAAAAATATTTATTTTTTATATTTAATAAAATATGTATGAGTTTTAACGATAAATATATTGTAAAACACATATATATTTTTTATTAAATATAAAAAATAGTCTTTGTCTAGTTTGAACAATGTGATAATCTTTTACGCAACATAATTCATTAAACAGTATGAAATCAAGTAACTTATCAATAATATTCTACTGACTAATAAACTATGTTAAGAACATGCAAATAGGTATGCACGAGATTTCCAAAAGCCATTGTTTGTGACTGACATATTGATAACGAACGTTATCTTAATATCGATAACGAACGTTTTCTTAAAAAGCATGTTAATGTTTTATGTATTGTATGTAAAATTTACAATAAAAGAAAAACTAAGTACAAGTTTTTAATATTTAATAAGCAACTATTTAATATATCGGCATATCTCGATAAATATATGAATACACACAAATACATAATAATTTATGTATTCTGCATGTGAAATTTAAAATAAAAGCAGTAACTGCTTACATATTTAAGACTGTGCCTTTTTTATATTAAATGTGTATATTCAAACAGTTTGCGTAACTTAAATGACAAACATAAGTGCTCATTAAATCAACTTTTATCTCACAGATATGTCATATCCTCTGTGAAGTATATATAAATTATTATATCATTAATCGTATTTATAAATTTACGTAACAATTTTCTAACAATTTTTCTAACTTATAAGTATAATAGTTTTTAATCGACAGTTTAATAGACAATCATAATAGATGAAACTTTCTTAAATAAACTCAATTGTCTAAATTTTTAATCAGAATAAACATATAAGATTTTGTATTCTCTTATAGAGAAGTCCAAATTAAATGAATTAATATAACAGCATAATAATTACAAAATCAATATATATAATAAAATATTAAAATGAGAAGATAAAGATATATTTTTCTCTCCTCAAAATCAAACAAATTTCACTCTCTCGATCTCTGCAATTTTTCAAGAAAAGGATTTTTGAACTTTCACTTTCCGGGCGCGGTCGCTTTTTCGGTGACGTTTCTAAAAATAAAAGGGACCACGGGACCGACGATATAGTCTGTCGAGGGATTGCGAGAGCACGCATTTACGCACGTGTATGAAGGGCACGCACCGGCCGGCGTCGCGCACACCCGCATGGCACGCAGACGCGCCAATCAATATCGGACTATACCGGGTGTACACCCCGACCGTCTCTACCGTCAGTCAGCCAGTACACTATCAGCCACCAACCACACCTTCCCAGAACTGCTTTGCCGCCCTTCAATCTCACTCTTTTGACGGAGGAAAAACGTGACGTCTGAATCATTGCATCCGAGTATCGCAAGCTAGCCAACTATCCAGCTTCGTTTCATCTCGCTTATATTGCAAAACGTCACACACAACACGAGTGGAGAAATTGAAAAGGTATAATACGGAGAACGGAACGAGCCAATGAACTTTATCTCGACGGAGGTAGAGAATCAGATGACGCATAATAGAACTTATGCTGTGAGCGTTTGTTTAGTGGTATATCGGAATTTTGACGTGAAATTAAATTCAAAAAATTCCATAATATCGGAATGAAAAGTGTAAATAACATTTATTGATATATCAGTATCTTAATTGTTTTCTCGTTGATACCGTCGGTGAAGTTGAAGTGACAGGTGGACGAATGGTGTACTTGAAGCGTGAATGCCTTTTGCCCTTGGAATATGTAGGAATAAATTAATCATTTATAAAACGAAGAATTGAAATTTATAAGAAATAACAGACACATAGTTAGAACTGAAGGAATTCAAAATTCATTGAAATATTTATTTAAAAAACGTAATCATTTTTTTGTCCTCCTCTTGAAATAACAAGATATAAGATATAAGATAGATAAGACAAATTTTTATCACTTTACACAATACGACCAATTATGTAAAGTGATAAAAAGTGATAATTAATAATGCATAATATAGAAGCAACATTAGCATTGTTTGAAAAATGGGGGGAATAGGTTTATATAATAGAACAAAGAAAAAATAAAAAATACACGAAGAGAATTGGTATTAAAGTTAAATAAACAAATTTAAAAATTTAAAAGAATTTTTAATATGCTAATTTTAACGAAATAATAATTAAATTTACTTTAACGGATATATTTATAACACAAGACATATTTATAAACATATTTATAACGTAAAAATTTTTTGGCAGATATAAGTTAATATTGATTTTTTAAACTGATTTTTTGGCTGATCCTTTTAACTGATGTTGTACAGCTAAAAGATTTTTATATATATTTAATATGCTAATATCTTCGTCCAAATTTTCTAATTATAATTTGAACACGCTAAACAAGTACACTCCTTTTCACAATATTATAATAATTTTCTTGTTAATTAAAAACATTAATCCAAAGATACTGATATGTTATTGTCTAATTATATCTTCAGGTACGAGAGAAAATAAAAACTTAAAGAAAATGGAAGCAAAAGGGCGAGTTGCCCTAATAACAGGAGCTGCATCCGGAATCGGTAAAGCGTATGCCATCGAACTGTTGAATCAGGGTGCCAAGGTACATTATAAAATTATAATTTATAAGAGAACATATATATTTAATAATCCTTTATAGTCTCACACTTATTGTATAGAACTATTCTCGAAAAAAAAATTTATAATGTTATTATTTAACTTTTCAAACGAGGTCATGTTTTGTTTTCATGATTTGGAATTTCAAGCAAAACAAGCATTCTAAAGATCTTTCGATTTTGTTTCAAAACATCTGATTTATATTTAGACTTTTCAGACAGAGAAAAAATTATTTACGTCTTTTAGAAAAAATTCGTCATAATTGACGATAAATATATAGTTAAATCGATGATAAGTATATGGTACACATTATATTATTTATTTCAAAAAATATTTATTTGAAAAATATTTAGTTGCATTATTTCATTATATTATACAATATTATATTTTATGTAATCAATTTTTTTATTAATTAATATACTATTTTTGTTTTTAGAATTATTTAATTTTCTAATAGCGTAAACGAAATATTTCTACCTATAAAAATTTCAATTTGAAACAATTTATATATTATTAACAATTTATATATGTATGCAAGAGTCTTATATCTTTCAAACAATTTATATATTATAATATACAATTTATGTAAAATTTATGTAAAATACTAAGATTATAAAAAAGGTTTGAATCATCCTTCGATTTTTATGTATAAAAATAATTTTTTATACATAAAGTTATTTCGAAATAATGACAATTATTCCTAAAAATAAAGAAATCATCATGTTTTATAACCGTCGTGCTATTGAATTTAATCTTGAGACTATTAGTTTAGATGGCATCAAGATTCTCAATTCCCGTATCCAGCACACAATGGGAATATATTTTTTCAGATTTATTTTGAGAAATAACTCTGACATATTATATATAGTTTCTAAATAAATTTGTATATAGAGAGAGAAATCGAAAGATATAATTAAGAACTTTATTGACAATTTTTTAATTTTTTATTATATACAGGTGGCTATATGTGATATAAATACTGAAGAAGGAGAGAAACTGGTAGAAACATTATCTGAAAAATATGGTAAAGGTCGTGTAATCTTTTCGCAATGCGATGTCACGGATTATCTGCAATTCGAAGGTATGATAACCTGCGATAGTCGTTCACAATTTCTAATCTATCG